GTGGGGGGGGAATGGGAAGCTCATGTAGTTCATGTGACTATGTAAGTTCATGAAATGTTTAAATGAAAACTTGTAAGTAGCACATTCTCTATGGCAATTATGAATATGTAGTATTTAATTCAAAGATAATAAATTTTTGTTTGGCACTTTGGTTTTACTATATATATTTGGGTGACTAGTGATTGGTGTAAAGGATGGTTAGAAATGAAAATTATAAAAAAAAAAAAAAAAGAAATGAGAATTATACCAGGCAGGAATGGAATCTGAATTGAAAGGATCCTTAGAAACGGTGGCACAGGGTGCCTAATTGGCTCAGTCAGTTAAGCATCCGCCTCTTGGTTTTCGGCTCAGGTCATGATCTCATGGTTTATGAGTTCAAGCCCCACAATGGGCTTAACTCTGACAGTGCAGAGCCTGCTTGAGATTCTCTCTCTGCCTCATCCCCACTCACTCTGTCTCTCAAAGAAATAAAAACTTAAAATATATATTTAAAAAAAAGAAATAAGGGGCAGTGCCCTGACTAATTTGGCTTTTATCATCTGTCTGTTCTTACAAACAAAACTGCCAAACTTTTCCACTACTTTCTGCCTTCCTCACAGATTTTTGCCTTGGCTTCATTCTGTACCCTGGCCAAGTATATTCCTGTTTCTATCATTATTGCTCTTTTGATCAGGTTACAAATTATTTGACTCTTTTAGACTCATACTGCTATTAAAATGTGATCTCTTGTCCATTTCAGTTTACATTTGAGATTTGCAACATTTGTAACAGCTTTGAGAGCTTTAAAGTGCTGACATTGCATGGGCGCCTGAGTGGCTCAGTCGGTTAAGCGTCCAACTTCGGCTCAGGTCATGATCTCACAGTCTGTGGGCTTGAGCTCAGGTCATGATCTCACAGTCTGTGGGTTCGAGCCCCGCATCGGGCTCTGTGCTGACAGCTCAGAGACTGTAGCCTGCTTCAGATTCTGTCTCCCTCTCTCTCTGCCCCTCCCCTGCTCACGCTGTTTCTCTCTGACTCTCAAAAAATTAAAAAAAAAAAAACATTAAAAAACAATTCAAAGTGCTGACATAGTTTCTTCTGAACATGAATAGCAGATATTTGAGACATGAAGTATAGGTATGAAGAGCTTAAAAGCAGAGACTGAAATTATTTTAGAACTCTCCTTTTTTTGTTACAGGAAGAATGGGTTTCAAACAAGCTGAAATTGCTTTCTATAACATTTCTTCCAATTTTTAATTTTCTCTTAATACCCTTCATCAATAAAGGTTACAGTAATTCTGAATTCTTTAATCAGGTCATCATCCTCGTTATCTGATAGTAACTGTTTCTGTTTTCTCAAAATTTCTCTTTTTGTTTTTATCTTTTTATGACAGAGACTCTTTTCCGTTGTCTGATATTCCTTGAGGGACATCATGTATGAAAGTTTGGTATTAGTAAAACATGGGCAGTTTGAGAAAGCCAAGATGATGCAAGGATCAGCAGGAAACTTTATATATAGTGTCTTTAAGGTAAAATAAGACAGTGCATCATTGAAACTATGCAGGAGTCTGTAAAAAAGGAACATTAAGAGCAAAAAAGGGGCACCTGGCTGGCTCAGTTGGTAGAGCATATGATTTGTTTTTAACGTTTACTTATATTTTGAGAGACAGGGAGCATGAGCAGGGAGGGGCAGAGAGAGAGGGAGTCCTAGAATCTGAAACAGGTTGCAGGCTCTGAGCTGTCAGCGCAGATCCGATATGGGGCTCGAACTCACAAACTGCAAGATCATGAGCCAAAGTTGGACATTTAACCGACTGAACCACCCAGGTGCCCCTAGAGTATAGGATTCTTGATCTGAGAGTTGTAATTTCGAACCTCACAGAGTTTACATTAATTTAAAAAAACAAAAAGGACCAAAGTTTAGGAAATTAAAAATATGGTAGAAATGTAATAGACAACACAAGTTAGAAAGATAAGTCTTAAAAATAGAACAACAAGATCTAAAAAGATAGAAAATATAAGGAAATTAGTGCAGTAAGCCAGAGGGTCCATTATCTGGGAGGGGAAAAAAAAGTTCCAGTAAAGAATAGAGGATTAAATTTACATCAAAACACAAGAAACTTTCTCAGAACTAAATGAATCTCTAGTTTGTAAGTACTAATGCAAAAAGTACTTAGCAAGTTAGATTTTTAAAAAGCCATTCAGGGGCATCTGTGTGGCTCAGTTGATTAAGCCTCCAATTTCCGCTCAGGTCATGATATCATAGTTCGTGGGTTTGAGCCCCTACATCTGGCTCTGTGCTGGCAGGTCAGAGCCTGGAGTCTACTTCATATTCTGTATCTCCCTCTCTACACCTTCCCTGCTCATGTTTTGTCTCTCAAAAATAAGTAAATGTTAAAACTTTAAAAAATAAAATAAACAAAAAGCCATTCAGGATATTTTAGAACATGGGAATTAAAGAGAAAATCTTTGGGGCACCTGGGTAGCTCAGTTGGTTGAGCGTCTGACTTTGGCTTAGGTCATTATCTCACATCCGTGGGTTCGAGCCCCACCTCGGGCTCTATGCTGACACTCAGAACCTGGAACCTGCTTTGGATTCCGTGTCTCCCTCTGTCTCTCTGCCCATCCCATGCTCGCACTCTGTCTCTCAAAAACAAAACAAAACAAAAAGCCCAACGTTTAAAAATAAGTAAATAGAAAATCCTTTTTTTTTTTTTAATGTTTTTTAATTTATTTCTAGAAGAGAGAGAGAGAGAGAGACAGCATGAGCAGGGGAGGGTCAGAGAGAGAGGGAGTCACAGACTGAAACAGGCTCCAGGCTCTGAGCTGCACAGAGCCCGACGCAGGGCTCGAACCCACGAACCGCGAGATCATGACCTAAGTGAAAGTCGGACGCTTAACCGACTAAGCCACCCAGGCGCCCCGAAAATCCTTTTTAAAAAAGGATTTCTTCCTACCAGGGAGAAAGACCAAGCCCTGTTTGTAGACTCAGAAATCAGAAGGCATTGATTGGATTTGGTAGTCAGGAGTGAGGATAAAATAGAAATAGGAGAGATCTTAATAAATTTACCTCCCATGCACTCATTCTTCAGAATTTACCAGTAATATGCGCTATGAAAATGGAGTAAATCAAGAGCGAGGAAGACTGAGATTGAAGGAACAGGACATCCACCACTGAGAGACGAGCGAACATTAAGACATTATCTATTTGAAATTAATGCTTAAATATAAGTTTAGTGTATTTTTAAAATGATATTTAAAAGTTAAAAGTAGGACTTTTTCCTTAGGTAATCTGTTTCTCTAATGTTTTAGAATAAGAAGAGGGTTTCTTCTCTATCAACACATGTCTCAGGGTAGGGACTTGTATTTCTCATTGTGATTGACAATTTAGAACAATCATAAATCCTTTAACTGGGAATGCTATTTAATGTACAGTTTTATAATTAAAAGCTTCTGTTCACAAATCTATTTGCTTCCAAGAATTTTCAAATCTTTATCAATTTTTTTAACATAATGAATCCCATGATATTTGTAGAATTCTAGTATTTCAACATTTTTATGTTCGATTTTCACTTATACCTCACTGCTTTTCAGGAATTTCATAATTTTAGTTCTTCTTACAGTCATATAGTAGTTTTTATTTGTTTTTTGCTTTGTTTTGTTTTTAAGTAGTTTCCATGTCCAGTGTGGAGCCCATTGCAAGGCTGGAACTCATGACCCTGAGATCAGTAGCTGGGTCGAGATCAGGAGTCAGACACTTAACTGACTGAGCCTACCAGGCACCCCAATCAGATTGTAATTTTAATTGTAAAAGGCAACAAGTTCGAAATGAGAGATCCATTTTAGAAATTCATCTTAATCATAAATTTAGGAATATTCATTCAGACACATTATTTCTATCTAGGAAATTGGGCCAGGTAATTCTTAATAAGTTTCCCAAAGACCTGTGTTCACTAAAAATGAACACATTGAATCATGTAGTTCTATAGCTACTTTGTATTCCTGGAAGAACAAAAGTGCCAAGAAGTGAGGCAGGTTGGAAAGGTCACCAAAAATCTAAATCTGAATCATTAGTGTTGCTTGCCAAGGTATGTCTTCTGTCTCAATAGCTGACGTAACTGGTTTTGCTATGGAAAATTTATTGTTGGAACACCAGGGTGGCTCAGTCGGTTAAGCATCTGATTTCAGCTCAGGTCATGATCTCATGGTTCGGGAGTTCAAGCCCCATGTCCAGCTGTATGCTGACAGCTCAGCATGGAGCCTACTTCAAATTCTGTCTCCCTCTCTTTCTGCCCCTCCCCCACTCGTGCACGCACATTCTCTTTCTCTCAAAAAAAAAAAATTTTTTTTTGTTTTGAAAAAACTGATGAAATAGATTGATGAGAAGGTAAATAAAATATTGAAAAATGGGATTAAAATTCCTTTTCCTGCAGCTACTGAAAGGAATGTTTTGTACCCTGCTTTTTTTGCTTAAAACTTTATATTTAGCAGGCAGCTAATAAGTGTCAGCCTGAATGTAAATCTAAGTCTTTTTGCCTCTGAACCTATCAGTGCATAGAAATTTTGATATAACTCATTGATTGGCATGTAGAGAAAGGAGTTAGTAAAATTTTTTAAAATTTTTAGTGAGAGACCATTTTTACCTATCAGAGAAAATCAGGATACAGATTCGTTTATGTAGTGTGTGATTACAGATACACATTTTCATAAAAATACAGGAAAATACTAAAAGAAAATGTCATCGTTTTATTGGCAGTTTTCTTTGGATATTGAGTTTCAGGTTATTTTTTCCCTTTGTACTTGTGTTTCCCAGATTTTATTTAATCATGTACTGACTTTTTATATAAAAAATATTCTTTTCCCAACATAAGGTAAAGCGATAGCTAATATTTTCTTAGGCCACCACTAGATAATCTGTTTATATTATCTGTTAGGTGGGGAGACATTTTGATAATGACATTGTCTTTATGTCCTATTTTATTCTGTCCGTATGGAATGAATATGTTTATATTATTTCTTAGATCTGAAACTCAGCACCGAGGCTCTGCTCCCCACTCAGAAAGTGATCTACCAGAGCAGGAAGAGGAGATTCTGGGATCTGATGATGATGAACAGGAAGATCCCAATGATTATTGTAAAGGTAACGCTTTTGATACCAAGTAAGACGTGATTCCTGCCTATATGCAACTTCTCACTTAAATGTTAGGTCTATCAGTGTAAGCTATTTTGATGCTTTCTGCCTATTGCATCCTTTTCTCTAAGTGTAAGAAATAATATTTCCTCTCAGTTCAGTTTAATTTATTAAAGCTTGGTTTTATATTAAGTGTTTTTACCCGTTTCTCCTTAAAAATGATAGTGCATATTTACCTTAGAAAATTTCAGAGAGATGTTAAACAAAAAGAAAATAAGAACCATCTACAATGCAGTATCACCCAGAAATAACCAGCAATGAGAGTTGATATATAGGCTTCTCAAAAAAAAAAAAAAACCTTTACGTGACTTTTTTCCTCATAATGATTGCTAAAGTAAGTTAAACTGGAATTATAGATACTTAAACTGTGTCATAAAGTTGCCTGATAAAATTTTTGTTTCTTTATGAGACTTTCTAAGATTCTAGGCAGCAAGTTATAACAGAACGTGTCTTACCGTCTAGGAGAACGTAGTTTGTGTTACTCTCAGCAAGCAAAGATAGATGTAAAAATACCTTGATTCCTGCCACTGTTGGCAGCCTTTTCAGGCCTTTCTGGTTTTTATTAAGTTTTAAGTTTAAGTGTTTTTTTTTATTTTGAGAGCAAGCACGAGCACAAGCAAGGAAGGGGCAGACAGGGAGAGAGGAAAGCATAGTCAGTGCAGAGCCAGACATGGGGCTGGAACTCATGAACCGTGAGATCATGACCTGAGCTGAAATCAAGTGTGAGACACTTAATGAGCCGCCCAGGTAACCCTAAATAAATGGAATTCACTAGTCTCCCTGATTAGTGAATCCTGAGACTGAAACTATAAATAGATTTTATTTTATTTTATTTTTTATTGTTTTATTTATTTCTAGGAGAGAGAGAGAGAGACAGTGTGAGCAGGGGAGGGTCAGAGAGAGAGGGAGATACAGACTCTGAAATAGGCTCCAGGCTCTGAGCTGGCAGTCAGCACAGAGCCTGACGCGGGGCTCGAGCCCACGAACCGCGAGATCATGACCTAAGCGAAAGTCGGACGCTTAACCGACTAAGCCACCCAGGTGCCCCAATAGATTTTATTTTAAACATATATTTAGATACATCTATTAGATTATCGAGGGGCAAGAATACTGTGATATGTAACCTTGTTTTTGTTTGACAGTGACTTGTTTTTTAAAGTAACTATTGGTTGTTCAACAAATCATCACCTGCTTACTCTAAATCATTAGTCTTATTTGCTAAGATGGTTTTTTAGTAACATGAGTTCAGTATGTGGCTGTGTGTATGGCAGACTTAAAAGTTTCTTCTCAGTTTGTTATATAGAAGAAACCATTTTTATTTGATAAACTATGTATAGATGTTGAAAGATGGAATATGAGATGCCTTCTCTTATTACTTAAGTGACTGTTTCCGTCCTGTTGTTTCTTCCAGGAGGTTATCATCTTGTGAAAATCGGAGATCTATTCAATGGGAGATACCACGTGATCCGGAAGTTGGGCTGGGGACACTTCTCCACAGTGTGGTTATCGTGGGATATCCAGTAAGTTGCCGTGGTCCCGCAGAGAAACTAGTTAAGTGATGCCCACATGTTATTATCTGATTTTCCAGAGATGACCCAGCCTTCAGTCTAGCTTTAGACCAATGTCTTGATCAGAATTTTGTTGTTGATAATCTTTATGTTCTTAGGAAATTTTGGCTTTTCCTCTGAAGAAGAAGCATGTTCTTCACCATGAACAAAATTAGCATCTATAAGGCCCTTGGAACTCAGAACTTCAAACATTACAAATATTCAATAAAAGTATGATATGTAAATTCATGGGGTTTTTTGTTTTGTTTTTTACTAGCGTAGAGTTAAATTTTCAGATGATGTCCTAGACCAACCTATGTGAAATTATTTTATTTTAATAAGAGATTTGCTCAACTATACTGTCTAAAATTTTTCCTACAAAAATATCACAGGTAATTAACATAGGAGGTTTACCTATGGGTGTATGGTCTATCTTTGATGGGACGGTGTTTTGAGATCTTTGCACTTTATTTTTTTATCTCTTTGGTTTCACCCAAGTATTTCTTCCGGCTTCTTATAGGAAAGTGCTACAGCTTTTAATTCTTTGACAATGCAGATATATAGAATACTTCTGGTGTGCTAGAATTTCCCCCTTATTTATTCCCATTTCATGGTTTTACTTGGATTCAGGGAGACATTGAGAATGTAGACTCTAACTTAGAGAAAATGTATGATGACTGACATTACCCAAGAACAGATTTTCTTCCTCCCATAAATGAAATCTGGCCAGTTAGTGCCATCCGTTAACAGGTACACATGACCCCATAGAAATCACCTATGCTTAAGTACAGGGAAACATGGAACCAGTATTTGTTCTTTTATTACCTCCCAGTTATGACTGAATCTTACCTTCCTAGAGTGAGGATAGGGCATTCGCCTTAACTGCCTGTGTTTGCTTCTTAGGGGGAAGAGGTTTGTGGCAATGAAAGTAGTTAAGAGTGCTGAACATTATACTGAAACCGCACTAGATGAAATCCGGTTGCTGAAATCAGTGAGTATTAGATCATACTTGTGGACTGCGAAGCATCATCAAGTTTTATTAAATTAAGACATAAAGTTCCAATATCCTTAAAGAAGTAGAGGAAGATAACAATATGCATTCCATGCCTGTGGTAGTAGAAGTGGTGGAATGTGCTCTGGTGGGAATTCTCTGTACATAAACACTGAAAAAAACTTTCAAACAAACAAAAATGTTTATTTTATGTGCCGGATAGCACCAGAAAATGTATTACTTTCCTACATGGTTAAAAGTTGTGTGAATAAGTTTATAACATTTATTTTATGTTTTAAAGTATTATAAACTGTATATAATATAAAATACTTTATTAATTCCCTTAATATCTGAAAACTTAGGTAAATTTTATTGAAAAAACTTATTTTCGGTTTTGTTATCAATTAGGAAGCTGTCATTGTAGGAGGAGGAGCTGAGACTCAGAAAACCTAGGCTTTAAGACCAGCCCTGGTCTAGTATGCCCTCCAGCTCATCACTTCATTTCTTCTGAGCCATAGATTTTTCCTTCGTAAAGTGAGCACATTAGACCTGGAGAACTCTAAGAACATAATTTGCAAAGTGTCAGTCTGACAAGATAAGGAGCTTGTGCCCAAAAGTAAATCAATGTACTGCTTGCTTCCTTCACTGAGAAAGGTTTTCTGTGGGGCGGGGAGGGTCAGCTGAATAAACTGTGTGATGACTGGCCTGCATCCTGGGAAGGCTCCGTAGTTCCTCGTGGCCTCGTAACCAGTAATTAATTTGGGAGTCACACTTTTAGTAGAAAAATGGTTGAATTAGAACAGTAGTCTATATTGGTCGTATTTCCTTTTGTTAACTTTATTTCTTTGCCTATTTGAGCTATTAAAATTTTAGTATGTCTTTCTCATAGATTTGTATGAGCTCTTTCTTGGAAGTAATTAATCCGTTGTTACATGTGCTGTGGGTGTTCCCTCCCCGACTCTTTGGGTTATTTCCATGCTTCTCCTTTTATTGAATACTGTTTCTTTCTCACTTTAGGTTCGTAACTCAGACCCTAATGACCCAAATAGAGAAATGGTTGTTCAGCTACTAGATGACTTTAAAATATCAGGAGTTAATGGAACACGTATCCTTTTATTTGAAAATAAATCATGAAATAACCTTGTCTTTAAGAAAGGAACAAGATTTAATAAATAGCATTCGTCTCTTTTCTCAAGGCAAAGTACAATCAAACTGCTTTGTTTTACAGTAAGCTTCTGAACATAGATGTGAATCATATTTATCTTTATATGTTGTGATTTTTCAGAATACTGCTTTAGGCTTTTTCCTCTTTTCAAACAAGTTAAACCAAAGTCAAAAGAAAACTTTTTTTTTTTTAATGTTTCTTTATTCTTGAGAGAGAGCGAGACAAAGTGCATGCGGGGGAGGGACAGAGAGAGAAGAGAGGGAGACATACAATCTGAAGTAGGCTCCAGGCTCTGAGCTGTCAGCACAGAGCATGAAAAGAGGCTCAAACACACAAACCGTGAGATCATGACCAAAGTCAGACACTTAACCTACTGACCACCCAGGTGCCCAAGAAGAAAAACTTTTAAAAAAAATAGCCTTGTATTAGTAAAAATTTTATAACTTTTATCAGCACAGAAATTTTAGTGGAAGTAATTTTTCATGATAAACACTGAGTAAAGAAAATTTTAACGCATTATATTATTTCCTGGCCTTCCAACGGTGAATAGGCTGTGCAGGGGTTATGCTTAGAATCTAAACAGGTATGTTATCACATTTTGTCATGATGAAAAAAACTGATGTTTCATGTTTTTATCTGGATTTTTAATTTTTTTTAATGTTTTATTTATTTTTGAGAGAGAGAGAGAGAGAGACAGCGTGAGCAGGGGAGGGTTAGGGAGAGAGAAACACAGAATCTGAAATAAGCTCCAGGCTCTGAGCTGTCAGCATAGAGCCTGATGCGGGGCTCAAACCCACGAACCGTGAGATCATGACCTGAGCTGAAGTCAGACGCTCAACCAACTGAGCTACCCAGGCACCCCTGGGTTTTTAGAGTTGGAAGGAACCTTAGCTGATTTTTCTCATGTTAGTATCAAAGTGACATGCAGTGAATTAATTAAGAGACTATTACAACAGCCATACGTATAAGGACCTGTAGGTTTTTCAGAATAAAACAATGAAGTAGAATCTCACTTGGATTGGAGAGTCTAAGACTACCTGTTCATAAACTGTTTAAAAATGTAAAAAGAAAGACATTTTATACCTCTCATTCTGCATTTCCTGCATATTTAGCTTCTATTAACATACATTATTGATTGCCAGTTGTGATCTCCTTTTTAAAGATGTGGGCTCTGCATTATCATTTGGACTATGGTAAGAGATTTGAATAGAGAAGCAAGAAGAAAGTAGGAGAGAAAACAGGTGATAAGGTGAAAAGATTTATATCTGTCATTCTGAATTTAATTGTAAGTTATTCCCTTGTAGAAGTACAAATCACATACCCCTGATTTCTGAAGAAAACTGCTTCAAGAATTATCCGTTTTAAAACAGAAGCTTGTGTCTCTTGCGGTCACTTTGTAGGTGTGTGTGTGTGTGTGTGTGTGTGTGTGTTAACTATTGAAATCTTAGTGGATTTGAATTTCAGGTTCTGAGATGTTTTCCAGACATTACCAGGTGGTTTCTCTCTAGTTTTATCCATTGAGTCCCTGTTTTAATTATTTTTCTCTTTGTCCTTAGCCCACCTTCTCTCTGCCCTTCCCCCTTCTTGTCTTCCGACTATCTTGGCTACTGCATTATTTGCTGCTACTAGAGACTGAAAAGGATAAAACTCAGAGTGCTGAGTTAAGGGTTAATGGGTTGCTCTTCCCCTGCCCCTCATCTCTTCTTACCACACGGGCATGTCTGCGTGGAGCTCTGTGTGTATCTGTATTTTTCGTAGCATCTGAGCATCTCTAGAGCACTGTCCTCTCTCAGACTGAAGTATAAGGGGCCCTGAACTGGAAAGTTAATCATGTAGACTTCAGGATACTTGATTCATTCTACTTCTCTGGGTAGTAAGGAGAGAGGAGTGATTAAAGAGGGTCATCTAGTCTATATATACTATTGACATTAGCCAGTGAGTATCAGTTAAGTCCATCTATGTGACCTACTATGTCTGTAGGATACTTCTTTTTCTGGTATGCATTTTCCTCCTTTTCCTAGCTCCTCTTACTCAAATGTAACTCTTCTTAGTTTTCACCCCTCTATTTTTTTTTTCCTTACACCATCTTCTCAAGAAATTTTTTTCATGTATCCTTTTTTCTAGTTCTTTTTGTTTCTTAAGTTACTAAATGTTTGGTCATTTTTATATCCACTTACAAATTAAAATACCGTTGTCATGGCTGCCTGGGTGTCTCAGTCATTTGAGTACCTGACTCTCGACTTCTGTTCAGGTCATGATCCTGGGGTCATGGGGTTGAGTCCCACATAGGGCTCCATGCTGAATGTCAAGCCTGTTTGGAATTCTCTCTCTCTCTCTCTCTCTCTCTCTCTCTCTCTCTCTCTCTCTCTCCCCCTCTCCCTCCCTCCCTCCTTCCTCTCCCTCTCCCTTTCCTTCTGTCCCTCTCCCCAGCTTGTTCTCTCTCAAAAAAAAAAAATATATATATATATATATAATTGTCAGTTTGTAATATTTCTCTCAGCAAATCAAAGCTTGAAACTAGGGAGCCCCTGGGTGGCCAGTTGGTTAAGCATTTGACTGTTGATCACAGCTCAGGCCTTGATCATCTCAGAGGGTTTTTGAGTTCAAGCCCTGTGTTGGGCTTTGCACTGGGCCTGAAGACTACTTAAAAGAAAAAGTTTGAAACTAGGAACATAAGAGAGTAATTTAAAAATTACTGTTCTCTGGATTTTTTTAAGCAGTCTACATTTTTAAAAATCCTATTTTGGTATATCTCATATATACAGAAGTAGAATAGTTCAATGAATATCCACAAACCCATTATCCACTTTAGGAGTTACCAACTCATAACCAATCTTGTTTTGTCTGTACCTCCTGCTAATTTTGTGGCCAACCTTAGATATATTATTTCATCCATAATTGTTTTAAAGCATATTTATTTTGAGAGAGAGAGAGAGGGCATGAGCAGAGGAGGGAGGGGAGAGAGAATCCCCACACTATCCGTGCAGAGCCAACTGGGGGGCTTGAACTCAGGAACCTTGGGATCATGACCTCAGGTGAAGTCAGACACTTATCCGACTGAGCCACCCAGGCGCCCCCATAACCTCATTTTTAAAAATGTTTCAGCTTGACCGGTAGCATCCTCTCAAGGCTCGTTTCTCTTCCCCTTGACGTGTTCCATTACTGTTGGCACAGCTAGGTTTCCAGGTTCACCCAGGATTTGGCCATTTCTTCAAGGAGCCCAAGTTTTCCTTCAGTAGAGGATCTTATTTAAAGGAAGAGTCTGGGCACTAGGTCATTATTGCATATGTATAGCTTGACTTTCCCATATGTAGAAACTTGTAGAGGTACAAGGTGGTAACATCTTACTGCTAACATCCCAGCCACGCCCTGCACACTGGCTCAAATAATTATCCCTGCTGTGGTGATCGGGTTGTGTGTACATAAAGAGAACACATGGTGGCGCTAGAGTCAAGATTAGTTTTGTGAACTACAGAGTGTAAAGCAAGTCAGTTTCCTACTTTTACAAAACATTGGCATTCACATTTTTTAGGTTAAATTTTGGTACATTATCTCCTTAGTTAAAGCAAAAGTTAATTTTCCTTGTTTTGAAGCTGTGAGAGTAGAAGTGGTTACCCTGGATAGAACTTTTGCATCCAGGAAAAGGCAACAACTTAAGCCTAGTGCTTTCACTAATTGGCTGTGGGTGTTTCACTTTTCTTTTACTACGTAGTGTCTTAGTGTGTATAGTTTTATCAATAAGCAGCTCCCCAGAATTTTCCATTTCTTGGGTGTTTTGGGTAACTAAAGCATTAGTCTTTGGAATTCAGAATATCGACAGCTAGAAAATTTTTTTTAGTCATATTCTGTAATTTTGAACTGAAAGAACAATACAGTAACAGTTTCATTGGGGTGGAACACATTTTATCTTGCCTTTTCTTCTCTTGTGCTTCCTTTTTTCCTTCCTTAACAAATTCCTAGATATCTGCATGGTGTTTGAAGTTTTAGGGCATCATCTGCTCAAGTGGATCATCAAGTCCAATTACCAAGGGCTTCCACTGCCTTGTGTCAAAAAAATCATCCAGCAAGTATGTATTTTAGTATTTTCTCTGTGATGATTGTTTTATATTCTTAAAGTGTATTATATTCTTAAAGTCTGTTCTATCCAATAGAATTTTTATTTTAAAAACTAAGAATTTTTTTAAATTGCTAAAATTGTTTTATTCAGCCCCTGGTGTTCATTCTGTGTTTAAATGTTTTAGCAATAAACCATTTCTCCCAGATTCATCTCCTATAATAATCGTTAGAGGGGAGCTGTGTTCAGTGACTGGTTTTGCAAATGTGGAGCCCTTATCCGAAGTTCTGGTTGCAGATATTATGTATTAATAGAGAATTAATATTAATATTATGTATTAATAGAAAATTTCTATGTCAAATTATTAATGTCTCTTTATAGAACATTATCGAAGGGCATTTTCTAATATTCTAAATAGTTTTCAACATACAGTAAAGAAGTTTATCCTCAGACAAATATTAATACTTCAAGGGGCAAATAATTTGTTTGCATAATGTGTTTTGGTGGAAAGAGCTCCAAACTAGGAATCAAGAGACCTCAGTTCTGTAGCAACAAGGAAATGTGAATTAAGAGATAAGCTAAATCTTCTTCATCACCTATACTTTAGCACTCAGAGGACATATTGACTTTTTTTCTCGGTCTTTATACACTTCTTTAAATATCTCCAAATAGAATTAGCTTTTTATCACTTGAAGAAACTTTCTATTATCAATAAACCCTTACCTTTGTTCATAGTTTACAAGTAATCTTTCTGGGGAAGTTTCTTTGTGCTTTATTAAAAATGCTGTATTCTCTGTTGAAAACGACTATATTGTTTTTATGTTATTTTTTTAAATGTTGTGTTGTGATTTCTTCCTTCTCCAGAAAGACTTGTGTTCTGTGTTTGCAAGTCTACTGCTCTATTCCCATCCAGGTGCTACAGGGTCTGGATTACTTACACACCAAGTGCCGTATCATCCACACTGACATTAAGCCAGAAAACATCTTGTTGTCAGTGAACGAGCAGTACATCCGAAGATTGGCTGCAGAAGCAACAGAATGGCAGCGATCTGGGGCTCCTCCACCCTCTGGATCTGCCGGTATGTGTCCTGTGAGGACTTGGGTCTCATTAGAAGTTAAGAAAAGTTTCTATTTTTATCTAGTACCAGCAGTTAAGTAAAGAACCACTCATTCATTTAACAATAAGACACGGTAAGTACTTACGTGTAAGAAATAATCTCAGTCTTCAAAAGACTTTAATTCTCAGTATCACGCTCCTGTAGAAAGAAGTCTAGAGATTATATACAGATATTTTGTATACTATAAAAGCTGATTCATTCAGTTCAAAAATAATTCATGTTTTTGTTTTAAAATGTTTTCCCTTGTGATTCGATGGCCATTTTTTATGTGTTTACCTCTTACCATGATCATACATGCTCGCTTATAGATCAGTGATCTGTGCGGGGGTCAAGGTAACTTTGCCATCAAGAACTTGAGTTTAGGCATTGGAGTGGACAGACCTCGTTTGAGTCCTGTCCTCATCATTGGCTTGGGTGTCTTGAGCAGGTGTCTTGACTTCCTTTTCCCTCTTGCGGGAGTTCTTGGTTAGTTCCATGTTAAAGCATTTAGTAGGGTGCAAAATAAATGATGGCTATGATTATGATGAGTTTTTTGCCATTTGGGATATAGATTTTAATTTTTGTAGTTTTATTTGAGGAACTTTTTTTTTTTTAGGAAATTTAAGTTGTAATATCTGTTGACACAAGCTTCCTTTAAAATGGTAGACTAAAGAAGGGGAAAATGAGAAGTTTATTGATGGGCATAGAGTTTCATTTTTCCAAAATGAAAAAGTTCAGGGCACCTGAGTGGCTCAGTCGGTTAAGCATCCAACTTCGGCTCAGGTCATGATCTCACAGTTCGTGGGTTCAAGCCCCACGTTGGGCTGTGTGCTGACAGCTAGCTCAGTGCCTGGAGCCTGTTTCAGATTCTGTATCTCCCCCTCTCTCAGACCTTCCCCTGCTCACGCTGTCTCTCTGTCTCTCCCAAATAAATAAAACTTAAAAAATTTTTTTTTTAAAAATGAAAAAGTTGGGGCGCCTGGGTGGCTTAGTCGGTTAAGCGTCCAACTTTCGCTTAGGTCATGATCTCGTGGTTCGTGGGTTCGAGCCCCGCATCCGGCTCTGTGCTGACTGCCAGCTCAGAGCCTGGAGCCTGTTTCAGTCTGTGACTCCCTCTCTCTCTGACCCTCCCCTGCTCACGCTGTCTCTCTCTCTCTCTCTCTCCTAGAAATAAATAAAACATTAAAAAAAAAAAATGAAAAAGTTATAGCAATATTACACAACAATGTAAATACAGTTAACATTCTTGAACTGTACACTTAAAAATAGTTATAAGGGAAATTTTACCTTGTGTGGCTTTTAAAAAAAAATTTAAGGGAGGGGCGCCTGGGTGGCTTAGTCGGTTAAGCATCCGACTTTCGCTTAGGTCATGATCTCGCGGTTCGTGGGTTCGAGCCCCACGTCAGGTTCTGTGCTGACTGCCAGCTCAGAGCCTGGAGCCTGTTTCAGATTCTGTGTCTCCCTCTCTCTCTGACCCTCCCCTGCTCACGCTGTCTCTCTCTCTCTCTCTCCTAGAAATAAAAAAACATTAAAAAAAATTTTTTAAGGGAGATTCTGCCTCCCACCTAAGCTAAACTAATACCCATAACACATAACATTCTATATGACAAATTACTCCAGCTCTTGATGCCATGCTCCTGTTAACACTGACCCGTGCCAAGAGGAAGAATTAGCAATGGGAGTCCTAGATGGGGATGAGGGGGTGGTTGCCTATCATTTTCTATTTTAAGCATACATGGGAATGAGGTTTTTCCAGCAATAATAACTGAAACCAGAAATGGGAACTTGGCTCTTTGCATATATGGGTTTTATCTGGAGAAAAATATAATTTATTTAAACTTATTTTAAGTTTGTCAACTTTTATATGAATTATTTTTATAAGAAATGGTACTTCTACCAAAGTTGCTCTAAAACAGTAGTGTCCTCTACAACATAAACTTACATTGCCTGCCAAATGCCAGAATTCTTACTTGATTTTCTTTTCTTTCCAGTCAGTACTGCGCCCCAGCCTAAACCAGTAAGTATAAGGTGTTTCTCTATTTAATTCTGATCTGTGGGCAGTGGGCAGGGGTTCTTCTGTTAGAGATCACAGTTTGTTTAGAGTTTGAAAAACAAAGAAAATATTCCTGCGCTTCTGTAATTTTTTCCAATAAGTTCCCATGCATCTTTAACAAGTTTCTACGGGTGAGGCTTCTACAGACTTGAGTGTGTCTGAGAGTACACCAGCCCCACAGACTGCTCAGAGGACCAAGATTTGTTGTTAATTTTGTTTTTCTTTGGTTTCATAAGAGTATCCACATTGTTTATGTTAATGAGTGCCGTGTTAGGGAAGGAGTGAAATTTAATTAGGAAATATTAAAGTTAACAGTTATCTCCAACTGGGGGTAATGGATTAGCCACCTGAAGGCTTTATCTGTTTGTAATCTCCGCCCAGGCTGACAAAATGTCAAAGAATAAGAAGAAGAAATTGAAGAAGAAGCAGAAGCGCCAGGCAGAATTACTAGAGAAGCGAATGCAGGAAATTGAGGAAATGGAGAAAGAGTCGGGCCCTGGGCAAAAAAGACCAAACAAGCAAGAAGAATCAGAGAGTCCTGTTGAAAGACCCTTGAAAGAGAACCCACCTAATAAAATGACCCAAGAAAAACTTGGTATAAATAGAGCATACACAAAAATTTACTTTAACATTAATTTATCATTGTTCTATAATATAGCGGTTTTCGTGCATAAAACACATCTCTGGGGGTGTCCTTATACAATAAGAGTACAGAGCTTTCATAAATGGTAGGCAGGTAATACATGTAATTTCTGACTTTTCTGTGGAAATGCAACGTTGACTTCATTTTGCAATTGAATAAGGATAAGAAGATCTTTGTCCTTCCATAAATAGGTTTTAGATGTTCAGTCATGTTCGTATGTCACCCTGTATAAGTTCTAGAAAACGTTTTAATCTTATGGAGAAATAATTTTGTTCTTTCACTCATACACATACATATACATCCTTTTTGTCTGTTTGTTCCTTAGAAGAGTCAAGTACCATTAACCAGGATCAAACACTTATGGAACGTGGTGTAGAGGGTGGTGCGGCAGAGATTAATTGCAATGGAGTAATTGAAATCGTTAATTATGCTGAGAACAATAATAAGGAAACATTGAGGCTTAAAGAGGATCTACATAATGCTAATGACTGTGATGTCCAAAATTTGAAGCAGGAACCTAGTTTCCTAAGCTCCCAAAATGGAGACAGCAGCACGTCTCAAGAAACAGACTCTTGTACACCTGTAACATCTGAGGTGTCAGAGACCATGATGTGCCAGTCTTCACCAAATGTAGACCAGTCCTTCAGTGAACGGGACATCAGCCAGCTTCAGGAAAGCATTCGGGCAGAAATACCCTGCGAAGATGAGCACGAGCAGGAACAAAATGGACCACTGGACAACAAAGGTACTGTGCAGACACACTTCCCCAGTACCCTTCCCTGATAGCATATTCATGGGCTTCGAGACTACAAGTAAAAAAACCATTGTTTTTACGAATAAAGCTTTATCGCAGGCACCAAGTTACCTGCAGTGTGTGAATTTTTAGCTGTTGTTGAATCGTATTGGTCATGTACTGGATGCACAGCATTTCAGTTTTTGCTTTGAAGGCAGACGTAGGGTTTAATTCCATAAACTGAAGGTGTTGCTGCTCTACTTTTTTATCTTAGAAAACTTAGTGTAGGCTGCCAGTCAAGGGTCCAAGCATATTACTTCAGAGGGCATTTCTTTGTTCACTAACCAGTTGTACTGATGATGCCTATTGTCTATAGGAAAATCCACTGCTGGAAATTTTCTTGTTAATCCCCTTGAGCCAAAAAATGCAGAAAAGCTCCAAGTGAAGATTGCTGATCTTGGAAATGCCTGCTGGGTGGTAAGTTAAACTTATCTTAGTGCTCTGTTTTTGTTTGTTTTAATTTTTTTCTTTGAGAGAGCGAGAAACAGAGCATGAGCAGGAGAGGGGCAGAGAGAGAGGGAGACACAGAATCTGAAGCAGGCTCCAGGCCCTGAGCTGTTAGCACAGAACCTGACATGGGGCTTGAACTCACGAACCATGAGATCATGACCTGAGCTGATGTCAGACGCTTAACTGACTGAGCCCCCCAGGTGCCTCCTTAGTGCTATGTTTTGAAGTGACTACAAATGAATGAGAATTTCGACTTTAATTGTGCTAAGGAAGAAAATACATGTAGTTCTGTACCCAGGTTGCCAGTTAACATTTTGGTGAATATTTTTTCACTTTTTTCATAACCTTTTATTATGGAAAAGTTCAGATATATTTACAAAAGTAGAAAGAATGATATAATAAAAGTCCCCACTCCCACTCCAGATACCTGTCACCCCGAGTCAGTAATGTTCACTACTGGCCAGTCTTGTTTTATCTGGATTCTTACCCACTTTCAGACTCACAGTCCATATGTTCATACTTAAAATTGGCATCTAACTCATTAATTTCAACCTTTTAATGCACTTAACATATTTTGGACACTTTTTCTTTTAATTTTTTTTTTAAATGTTTTATATATTTCTGAGAGAGAGAGAGACAGCGTGAGCAGGGGAGGGTCAGAGAGAAAGGGAGATAAAGAATCCGACAACAGGCTCCAGGCTCTGAGCTAGCTGTCAGCACAGAGCCCGAAAGGGGGCTCGAACCCATGAACTGGGAGATCATGACCTGAGCCGAAGTCGGACGCTTAACCGACTGAGCCACCCAGGCACCCCTGGACACTTCTTTGTTAACCAAATATTTGCACCAAATTGAGCTGGTTGTGTGGTGCTCCCTAACGTAGTGTAGTTTTTACACATTTTTGATAGCCCTTTGTGATGTGCATCTTGGCTCTTGAATCTTTGTGTGGTTGTGCTTAGGCTATAGCCTACACATAAAATTGCTAAGTCAAAAGGTGGGTGCTTTTTTAAGAGTTTAAAAAAATTTTTTTTAATTAGTTCATTTTTATTTATTTAATTATTTGTTTGAGGGAGGGAGGGAGGGAGAATCCCACGAGGTGCAGAGAGGAGGAGAGATGGAGAGAATGTGCGGAGCCCAGAGTAGGGCTTGAGCTCACCTGATGCGAGGCTTAAACTGAGAACTTACAAACCGTGAGATCATGACCTGTGCCAGATGCTTAAATGACTGAGCCCCCCCCGCCCCCCCCGACTGGGCGCCCCTTAAAGGGGGTTTGGTGTATATAGTGTCATGTTGGGTTTTTTGTTAATGTTTTATTTATTGTTGAGAGAGCTCACATGCGTGTGTGCATAAGCACAAGTGGAGGAGGGGCAGGGAGGAGGGACGGAGGCTCCGAAGCAAGCTCTCTTTGCTTTGAGCACAGAGCCAGAGGCAAGACTCAAACCCATGAACCGTGAGATCATGACCAGAGCTGAAGTGAGATCATTAACCAACTGAGCCACGCAGACGCCCCTATAGTGTCATATAATACTGTTGTTTACCTAGTTAAGAATATGGGGGAGGCCGTTATTTTTAACGGGCATCTTTTAAAAATCTTCAGTAGAATGAGTTGCACATAGACGACACATACTTGGAGCCATATACTTGGTAATAGGAACGCTGAAGATTGTTGAGGCAAAAACTGCATTGTTGAAACCACTTTGATAGGTTTATTTTTTTTTTTTAATACTTCGGATTTCCTATGGCATCCTATACCCAGTGGTCCATACTGTGGAAGGGTTTCCCGTTCTAGAATATTATGACCTTTGAGGAAAAAAATGAAGTCAACCTTAACACTGACTGGTAGGAATGGGGAAAAGCTTTTCAAATAATTAGAGTAACTCCACCAGACCGCTGTCTGGTCCATGCCCCCATGGCGTCACCTGGATGGCTGCGGTAGCATCCTCACGCCCTGTGCCCCCCTACATGCTCTTGTCAACACAGCCCTCACAGTGATCCTTTCAAATGGGGGCCCTGGCAGCTCTTCTCAGAACCTTGCAGTGACTTCCCTCGAAATGAATGCCAAAGTCCTTACCAGGTCCCACACACCACCAAGCCAAAAACACTTAGTATTCCTTCTGCCGGGAATTCTCTTCCCAATATAATGTGTACAGCTCACTCCCTCATTTAGTCAAGTTCCTATTCAGACGTCATCAGAGAGACCCACCTCTGAACATCAAACTTTCCAAACCCATGCCACGTTCGTTGTATTCATTCGTGTTTCTTCTCTTTCTGCTTCTCCCCGCTCAGTTCTTTTTCTCTGTAGCACTTATCACACATGGTCTGGTACTGTATACTTGTTTGCTTAATATTCCTCTCCCTAAACATAGTCCCATCACGACGACAGACTTGTTCACTGCTGTGTCTGTAGTACTTAGAACCTGGTACATAGGAAGTGCTCAATAAATACTTCAGTAAATGAATTGTAAGAAACACGTGGGTTCTGTCACAGACATCAAATGCGTGTGAGTTTTCTGCCCACACTGTATTCAAGCTTCTGTGCCTTTGTGTTTAGAACATCTCCCTCCACGATTCTCTTACCCATTTGGCACACTGTTCTTTATTCTGGTACAATTTCTCCTGTCACTTTTACTAGCACAAGTATTCTTTATTCTTTGGCATCTCTTTTCTTTTTTTTTTAAATGTGTCTCTTTGCTAAAATGACCTTACATTCTTTTCATCCCCTTGCTCATTTGGCAAACGTACTAGCGCACGCTCGGAGCTGGCTGCAGGATGCAGCGGTGAGCAGACGCAGGTGTGTTGCCCTGCTGGATCCTGCTCCGACCTCACACCTTACTCATCCCTGCAGCGGATAAATTACTTGGCTATATTGGTCCCAATTTTTTCAACTGTAGGCATTATTTTGGTCCTTCTGGAAAATAGGACTTGTGTGTCACCACTGCAACCATCCCCCATGTTCCAAATTTAATATGATTTTGGCGAGTTAATTGGTCTGCGTTTGCATTATGGGGACCCTAATGCTGTCAAGCATAAATTATACTGATTCTTTTACCCTTTCTGTCTAACACTGTTTCATTTGCTTAATCATCTTTGTACTACTTACTGCCCCACACTTTCACCCGGTGGTATAAATACACATACTTTAATGTATACAGATACCTTGGGTGCTCTTTCACCTAAGAGCTCTGTTCTGGAACCTGGACATTTTTCATCTGTGTTCACCTCTTGGATTGCCCTGTAGGCCTGCTGCGTTAGTGTCATTCGGATTTCTTTTCACCATTATCCGAGAGATTATTACTATTACTCTCTTTCTATATCCCCTACTTTCTGTGTCTCCAATCTTTTTTTTTTTTTTTAAGTAGGTTTCACATACAATGTTGGGCTCAAACTCACCACCTTGAGATTAATACTCTACTGACCGAGCCAGCCAGGCCATCTTTTTGCCTTTTGGTTTTTGCTGGTTAGTTTGTGGGTTTTGTGTGGTTTTATTTTGGGAGTAGGTAGAGCTTGCAGTAGCTTCCTAAGAAAGAGTGTGTGAAAGTGGGAGGGGTCACCTCCTGTGTCCCCTAATGTCTGTATCCTGCTTTCACACTCAGTTGGCTGCATGTGAAGTTTTAAGTTGAAAATAATTTTCCCTCAGAATGTTGGTCATTGCTCCATTATCTTCCAGTTCCCTGACTAGTTGTTGCTAAAGAACCAACGCCATTCTGATGCTTGATCCCTTGTATGAAACCTTTTCCCCTGTGAAAGTCTGTAGGGCCTTATTTCACACTGTTGTGCTCGGTCTGTTTTTATCCTAAGGACTTGATATGTACTTTTAATATTGAAACTCTAGATCTTTGGCTTTGTCTATCTGTCTTATCCTTGGTCTCTCTTCTCCAGCTCTGAAATCTTATTATTCAAATGTTAGACCTCCTATGCAGGTCTTGTCTTACCTTTCTCTCCTATTTTCTGTCATTTTCTTTTTGCTTTGTTTTCTGGGAGATTTCTTTTTTTTTTTTTTTAAATATTTTTTATTTATTTCTAGAAGAGAGAGAGAGAGAGACAGCGTGAGCAGGGGATAGTCAGAGAGAGAGGGAGTCACAGACTGAAACAGGCTCCAGGCTCTGAGCTGGCAGTCAGCACAGAGCCTGACGCGGGGCTCGAACCCACGAACCGTGAGACCATGACCTAAGCGAAAGTCGGACGCTTAACCGACTAAGCCACCCAGGCGCCCCGTTTTTACTGGGAGATTTCTTGACTAGTATTGTAAGCTTAATTTTTCTCATTGCTCCATTATGTTTTTACTTTTCAAGAGTTCTCGGTTCTCTGATTATCTCTTAAAGGGTATAGTTTATTCCATTGACATTTTCTTCTTCTTGTGTGATGTCTGTTGCCTTCTCTCTGCAGGAAAATGAGGGGCTCAACATGCAGTTACACAATCACTTAATTTCCTTGTTTTCAGAATGGTGCTCTCCCGTCAACTGTGTGGGGCGTCCTCCAGGGACCCCATTTTACCCATTTGGAGAAAACTTCCAAATGGTCCAGCCAGGGAAGGGGCTGTTAGGTTGCACTATGCTCTGTGTTCTGGAGCCCTGTTTCTTTTAAATTTTTTTTAATGTTTATTCTTGAGAGAAAGAAACAGACAGAGTATGAGCAGGGGAGGGGCAGAGAGAGAAAGAGACACAGAATCCGAAGCAGGCTTCAAGCTCCGAGCTCTCAGCACAGAGCCAGATGCGGGACTCAAACTCATGAACTGCAGGATCATGCCTGAGCCACCCAGGCACCCCAGGAGCCCTATTTCTTTAAAGGATATTTTAAAGCGGTGTTTCACCCCTAGTTCTAGAGATACCTAATACTGCCCAACCCTGAGCCCTGGGGGGATATACATCACAGCGCTTCTCAGCTTTCAGCTGTGGCTTATTCTGTTTTCTTGAATCCACTAAGACGTTTACCAGTGATCTGTTTTCCGTCTTGTAAATTTTATCGCTCTAACTTCTTTGCCATTCTGTCTGTTTATGCTTTAAAAATTAACACTGGAGGGGCGCCTGGGTGGCTCAGTTGGTTAAACGTCTGACTTTGGCTCAGGTCATGATCTCGCAGTTTGTGAGGTCGAACCCTGCGTCTGGCTCTGTGTTGACAGCTCAGAGCCTGGAGCCTGCTTCAGATTCTGTGTCTTCCTCTCTCTCTGCCCCTCTCCTGCGCACGCTCTCTCTCTCTCTCTCTCTCTCTCTCTCTCTCTCAAAAATAAACATTAACACTGGATTCTCTACAAAGGTAGAATTATAGGAGTAGATGAGTTTGTATCTGATCCACCTGATTCTTGACCTCATTTATCATTTACACCATCTTTTTAAGACAGTAGTGAGGCACAAGGAGTAAAAAACACCCTTGAACAGCATGTCCATTTTTCTAAAATGTATCACTGGACCCAATTCTGAAACGCGTGTGTGTGTAAAGTCTTTCCCATACCAAGCAATTCTTGGGCACCAGTGTGAGAATTCACCTCAGTGCTGACACAGTCTGCCTGGAGAGCAGTGAGATTCCACAGGTAAAGCACTCAGTCAGGCAAGACCTCCTCCTGCTTCAGATACCACCTACAAGCCCAAGTTACCTGTGCGCTGATCAGCCTGCTACACATTGGAAGTTGGACCCGCCCCTCTAAGCCAGGATGCCAGTCACAAGTCCAGGTTGTTACCTGGACTTCTGACCAACTGGCTATAGGTCAGAGGGCCCCACAGCCCCCTCCTTGGGTTTGAATGACTTGCTACATTACTGGTTTGTTATAAAGGATATCAAAGAGGACAAATCAACAGGCAGAGGAAGAGAGATGCAGAGACACTCTGTCCTCGTGGAGCTTGGGGCCCGCCCCAACCGCATATGGGAGCACCCTGCTTCCTCAGAGTAGAAGCTACCCAAACCCACCCCCTCCTTTGGGGTTTTTATGGAAGCTTCATTACATAGACATGATTGATTAACTCATTGACCACTGGTGATTGTTCAGTCTCTAGCCCTTCTCCCTTCCCCTGAAATCCCCAAAGGTAGGACTAAAAGTTCCAACCCTCTGTTCGTGGTCAGTTTTTCTGGCAACCCCATCCTTAGGTGAGCTCTGAAAGTCAGCTCATTAACATAAACTCAGTTGCATTGGAAAGGGGCTTCTTGTGTGAGAAGACACCCATTGTACCTCTCTAGCTCTGTTTTCTGGAACTGACAAGAGACCATATATAACAAGTAGGCTCCGATTACTCTTACTACTCAGGAAATTCCAAGAATTCGGGGAGCTGGAAGCCAAGAACCATATATAACAAATAGGCTCCAATTACTCTTACTACTCAGGAAATTCCAAGAATTCTGGGAGTTGGGAGCCAAGAACAGTGGATGAAGACCACATGTATATGAGAAATATATTTTGAGTGGCCAGTAGACATGAATGACCAAAAAATATAAATATGTCTTATAAATTAGAGCATCACGGTCACCTGCAGTACATCCCACTTCAAACTCGGTATCTGAACCCATTGTTTTCTTCTAAAACCACTTCCCAAAGTCTCTCCATCTGCTTTTGTCAGCACACAGCTGTCCCTCTGCCACTAATAAGTTCCTTTTGGCTCTTCCTCCTGTCTCCTACACATAGCCATTGAATTTTCGAATTCTGCTTATTCTTTCTGTGGCTGTCCTTGGGGTTTAATTTTCCCTGTCCTCTTTCCACCACCAGTGTTCAGATTTTTATTACTAAGTCTAAATCTGGCCCATCAACCAGAAGGTCACTGGAATGCCGTCCTTAGGGACCCTGTCAGTCTTCTTACAGCACACTCCCCTGTGCGCTAACACGCAGTGGTGCCGGATGAAATCCAAACTCTACCCTAGCAAGTTAGCTGTATCTGGCTTCAGCAGATCTCTCTGTGTCTTTATCTGAATTTTGTTTTGTGTGTATGACTCACTCTAAGCTGCTTTTTTCTGCAGTATTTTTTATGATGGTCAGCTTCACACCTATACCAGAGTAGAGAGAATAGAATAGAACAGTGAAATCCTGGGTCGTTATACTGGTATCACCCAGCGAGTATCAAGTCATTGCCAGTCTGCTTTCATCTGTGTCCCCGCTCTGCCGCCCACTCTAGCGTATTTTGCACTATATCCCATTCAACATGGCTTCCTAAAAGATGATTTCTTTCAGGTGATCATGACACCAGTGCCACATCTAAGAAGTTGGTAATTCACCAATATCAAGTATTCAGTCAGTTTTGCCAGTTACCTTGTAAACATTCTTTTAATTGTGTTTGTAACAGGTTCCAGATAAAATCCATGAATACAAAATTGAGTACTATGTCTCTTAAATTGCTCTTACTGTCAAGGTTTTCCTTTCCTATATAATTTATGTGTTAAAGAAACTCCAGTTGTTTGCTGATTGCATTCTCATAGTGCTTACCGTGGTCTGTTTCTCCAAGAATCATGTTTGAGTTTTTGACAGGGCGAGGCAGACACCGAAGAACAAGAGTTCTTTATAGATGTTGCTTGTAAGATTCTTGAAAATTAAAGCCTAATCTCTTATTTCTTCATAATGAGCACATAGCAAGGAGAGTTTGAATTGACCCTAAGTTGGTATCATTTGTTTGTTGAAGTGCTTATTAACTTTAGACAAATGAACAACTTAATTTTTGTTTGGGGTAATAGTTTTACATTTCTTAAAAAAGCCATGATTATTCCCTCATCCGTGCATCTGTATTAAGGTTCGACTCATGTTTGCAAAAATAATTGAGAGTGGACCGTGTGTTAAACCAAGTTACTGTTTGGAGGTAATAGCATCAAAATGATACCCTAAGAAACTTGGTGCGCCTAGGTGTCTTAGTCAGTTAAGAGTATGATTCGCGATTTGGCTCAGGTTATGATCAAACAGGTTCCTGAGTTCAAGCCCCATGTCAAGCTCTGCACTGACAGCATGGAGCCTGCTTGGGATTCTCTGTCTTCCTCTCTCCCTGCTCTGCTTGTGCTATCTCTCTTAAAAATAATTTTTTGGGTGCGCCTGAGTGACTCAGTCGGTTAAGCGTCCGACTTTGGGTCAGATCATGTTCTCATGGTTCGTGAGTTCGAGCCCTGCCTCGGGCTCTCTGCTGGCAGCTCAGAGCCTGGAGCCTGCTTTGGATTCTGTGTGTTTCTCTCTCTCTGCCCCTTCCCTGCTCATGCTGTCTCTCTCTCTCTCAAAATAAATACAGTTTAAAAAAATTTTTTTAAATGAATAAAAATAATTTTTTTAAATGGTATCTTAAGAAACTAGCTAAATGAAAACTGGTTTGAGGAAAACCTCAGAGAATTTATTTTAATCTCCATTATTAAGTAATTGTGAGTTATTTTTTAGAATAACTGAAATCTAAAATACTGATTCCTTCTTCATTTACTCAGCACAAACATTTCACTGAAGATATTCAAACAAGGCAGTATCGCTCCTTGGAAGTTCTGATAGGATCTGGCTACAATACCCCTGCTGACATTTGGAGCACAGCGTGCATGGTAATGTTTTTTCCCCTTGACCTTCACATATTTATGTGGTAGCTCTATACTTTGCTTTGTTTGCTGATTTTCAGTAGACTAGTGAATTTTTAACAAACAAGAAAATAAAAATTTTTATGATCTCACTGGCACCCTAAATGTTCTGTCTGGAGAGGTGGGATTCAAAAGCTAATTTAAAACATCTGGCATTCCATTTGGTTCTGCCAAATTGCCATTGGGCTGAAGGCACCAGTGTTTCCTACTACTGCTTGTGAGGAGGCAGGGGTGTTACAGCTGTAAGGTGTTACAGCTTTCGGTCAGGAGGTTATAGGTACCCTTGCCCTTTCAGCTCTAGTCTGTTTTCAGATTAGGGAAAACCCTGGAAACTTCTTCATTCTGTACAGTTTGACAGTTCCTCAGACACCTTTATACCTCACAAGATGTGAAGCCCAGTCATCCTGAGATTCTTAAATTGCTGCTTTGTCCCTGCCAAACAAGCACTCAAGTGGTCTGATTCCGTTGCTGTTGGCCGGTTTCCCACAGACAGCCTGTGTCGGGCCGTGTTGCGTTGTTCCTGAAATAGAGTCTGCTCTTTGTCATTGTGTGTTTCCTCACGTGTTTCTCTTCCACTAGGTTGTGAGTGCCGTGCTGACAGCAGTGGTGTCTGTTGTGTCTGGCTCACTGTGTGGCTCAGGGCCTGGCCCATTGTGAGCGGTGCTTACAGTGCAGTTCTGGTGCTCACCACCCAGAATTATGACAGACTTCACAGAGCAAGGGCATAATTTCCCACAAGACTGCCTTCATTTCAGACACCAGCTGCCAGCTCTGCAGTCACAGGCCACCTGCATTTCTGACCTACTGGCTACAAATTGGGAGGCTCCATTATCCTTTCAGATTCAGTAACTTGTTAGAATGACTCACAGAATTTAAGAAAGTGTTAGGACTGCTACTACCATTTTGTCATAAAGTCTACAAATCTGGACCAGTCAAATCAAAGCATGCCTAGGGTGAGGCCTAAGAAGGTACCACAGGTGAAGCTTCTCTGGCCTTGGGACATGACACTTTCCCAGCACATCAGTGTGTACCACCACCTAGGGAAGTTCACACAGCTTCAGCTGCCCAGCTTTCTTACTAAGATTTCATTACTTAGTCATGATTGATGGAAGGAATTGATCACGTGGTTGAACTCAATCTCCAGCCCTCTCTCCTTCCCTAGGAGGTTAGCAAAATGCTGCTCATAGCCCCAGTCCTCACACAGTTGGGTCTTGTCCAGTTAGGGGCCACGTCCAGCCCCCCTCTTAATGATGTAGGAGTCCACCTTGAGTCACCTCCTTGGTATGATGATGGGGGAGGGGGTGCGCACCATGAATGACAGAAGGCACTCTGGAAATTCCAAGCATTTAGAGGCTTCCTCTCAGGAAACAGGAACAAAAAACAAAGTCTTTATTCTATAGCAGTACTTAGTAAATATTTGCAGACCATCAAATGGAGTAAACTAACCCAGAAACCTGTTAAACTGTCACTTCAATTAACAGTATTCACAGTCATCTCTGAGAAAACCTTGAGAAACTACAGACTAGAACCCCTAACCTGTTTCAAGTTATAGATTTCTTGATACACACATTCCTGAAAAACTGTGTCTTCCAGAGATAATAGAGTTAAAACCATGTTATCAACATGGCACGGCCTTATAAATCATTATTAGGGTGTATCAGTGGCCTTTTAGGATGGCCAGCTGTCTGAAATGTAAGGTTTGGTGCTGTGTGCAAGATAGAAGAACATTGGAAGAAAATCTAACTTCTTTTAAAGCTTTGTATTTTGAGGAATTTGATTTGCTAGAGAAAATACATGCCAGAGATGCTACCAATTACAAAATATAGCTAGTTTACAGAGGACATATGATTTATTATAATGTGGTTCTTAGTAGGGGGTTAACTTAGTAGGGACGGTAGGTCCTGCGTGCTACTTCGTACATTAATACTAAGACAGAAAGTTAAAGGGGGAATTAACCTTGTGTCCCTTTTGGACCAGCTCACATGCAGGACTTTTGACCAAGGAAGGAAAACACATCTGATTTGACAGTATTGTGAAAACTTGAGCCCCACTTGTTCTCCAAAATTTCTCTTGTTTTGCTAATAGACCTAGAAATGTCGCAGTGCCTCTAGCCATCACCAGAAAGTAAAAACAAATCCTGGAATATCAGAAGTGCCTGAAAGAGATGGATCATCCTGCATCCGATGCAGTTAATTGATGGAAAGATTGGGACCCTCTCTGAGGGAGAAGGAGAGAGTGAGATTGCCTGCCGCATTAGTGATTGAGACTACCGAGTTAGAAGGGCAGTTATAAAAAGGGAATGTTCTGTGAAGACCGTTTGAGAGTTGGTAGAGAAGAGATGTTTTTAAATCCTCCATTCTGTGGATTTTGACAAACGTACAGTGACCTAGATGTACCACAGGAGAGTCCTACAGAATGGGTTCGCTGCCGGAAGATTGCTCCATGCTCTGCCTGTGTGTCCCTCTTTCTCCAGCCGCAGCCCCAGCCCCTGGCCACCACTGACCTTTTTATTGTTGTCATAGTTTTGCCTTTTTCAGAATGTCCCAACTATAAAGAAACGTATGCTTTCCAGATTGGCTTCTTTCACTTCATAATATTGGAATATTAAAGGTTCCCCTTTGTCTTTTCAAGACTTGATGGCTCATTTCTTTTTTAGCACTAAATATACTCCATCATCTGGATATACCAGCTCACTTGATTTCCTGACTGATGTTGCCTGTGTAGGTCAGCATGACCCTGACTGTCACAGAGTCAAGCACAGGAGTGGGAATTAGGAGCCTACGTTCCAGGATGGGCTTTTTTGCTTGTCAGTTTTGGCCACAGTTTTCTCATCTGTAAAGGGAAGTGTGTTCAGCTAGGGTGTTTCATAACCTAGAGCTTCTGCTAGTTTTGAATTTTGATACAGTGATCTTTTGATTTGGTTTGATTTGTGGGGTTTTTTGCTGTTATTCACAATTGTAACCACTAGCCAACTACCTTATGTTCCAAGACGTAGTTCTCTCAGAGAACTTTAGGTAACTAGTTATAAGTATCTAGATGAAAAAATTTGGAGAGAATATTAGAATCTTAGAAAAAAAATATTTTTTTTGAACTTTAATTTCAGTGTATTTACTGAGCTCCCACTTGGAGGCTTTGAAAAAGTACTTGTCTGAAGAAATTAACAAATTTTGATGAATAAGAGTCACAATTTGTTTCCTTTCTGCTTTGGGACTGTAAACCTCAGGACAATAATGGGGTAGAATATGTTTCAGGTTCAGTTTCAAAATAGACTGCTGGAATGTAAAACCACCTATGTATGCCTGGTAAGAAGCCATAGCATCTGTGACATATTAGGGACAGGCCTGAAACTCCTAGTTTTGTGGCCTGGGCAGTAGTACAGTTCAGATAATGTAGTTTTGAGGATAACTGTCCTGTCATAAAACTGCAGAAATGGACACTGGCAAGCCATTGAGAACCAAATCTGGGTCCAAGTTAGAGAGTGTGCTCCAGAATCCACCCCGCGGTCCCTGAAATTGTCTGGAGTCCTTATTAGTACCATTGACTCCATCAAAATTGAACTGTGACTAGTACTTGACTTAAGGTCCTTTCTAAAACTGCTGTTGTATTACTTTTCTTTAACCCATCTTTTACTCAGGGAAAGATTAAGATAGCCCTGTCACTCAGATGCTGTCTTTCCGTGCTGCTTGGCCCATACTCTAAATGAAATTACTTTTTCATACTTCTCAGAATGCTGTTTACAAGAGCTTTTCTTGTAGAAGACATGTGCCTTTTTTTTCTAGGTTGGTGAATGCTGAATATTCCAGTCACCTAAAACAGGAATTGCTCTTGACAACATTTATACCTGACCTTTTTCTGATTTTCTATAGACTCAGGAATTGGGAGTTCTATCTGAAACAGTTGAGGGAGTGCTTTCCAAAGCAGAACTTTAAAAAACTATACTTTTTGCCAAGTAATAGACATACATAGGTAGAGAGATGTCTGTTTCCATGTTTTGGTTTTGACTGTGGGTACAGAATCTTAATTTCTAGCCATGTGAAATTACAACATGAGAAAATAGGACCTGCTGTTCTCGTGAACAACTTAATAGCTTAGAACCACCTTAATATCCAGATGTGCCCCACGCTGAGCAAAAACAGGAACTCCAGAGAGCTGAATAGCTGATGGGGGGAGGGGAATAATCCATATGTTGATGATCTTATTGCTGCTCTTCGGCTCCATTTTACTAAGATAAGGTGTAGAAGGAAAGCTCTTTAGGAATAATCTTAAGACATTTTTTTAAGTGATCATCTGTGGCTTTCCCAGAGAAGGAAAAACTTCATATTGAGCCAAATAGCAAGCAGTAAGCTTCCCAAAGGCAATTGTTATGGTCGTTGTAATGCTTTCATATATTGTCCTCTTTTACTTAGGCATTTGAACTGGCCACAGGCGACTATTTGTTTGAACCGCATTCCGGGGAAGAGTACACTAGGGACGAAGGTGAGTCCTCTTGACTGAACACATCTGCGCACGGCACTTACACTTGCTGCGTGTGACTGCGTGGTTCATAGCACTGAAAAGCTTAGCCTTTTTAGTATGCTAGAATATATAAATCCCAGAAAGATCGAAATATTATATTAAGTATTAGATATACTAAATATTTTATAGAAGCTATTAAAGAACTCTGAGGATTAGAGAAAAGGCCACAGATGGTTAAACTAAAACTTGTATTTGCCAGGTAATTTCTTCTAAAACATCTAGTTATTTTTCTTTCTCTATAAATCAGTGCTTCGTTCTTTACCCACTTTGAATTACCTGTTCATCAACTTGTTGCTCAGTTATGCCTGCACCTATTTGGAAGTCAGTAGTTTCATAAGCAAACATACGACTTGAATGGTGTTTGTGAATGCAGAGACCATATCCTGTTTGTCTGTATAAATTCTACAATAGTCAGCATTCTTTTTTTCTAAAAATTAAAGCCATACTTTTTTCCTTTTTAAATGACATTAACATTTAGAATTCCATTTTAAAACAAAATAGTATTGGCTTACATTTTGTGATAGCCGGTGGGAAAGGCCCAAGCTGTCAGCTGCTCTGTCTGAGAGGCGATGAAAGCAGACAACTAAATGTGTGGTTGTCGTAGATTCTGGGTCTGGAGTTCTCTCTTGTCCAGCAAGAGAGTCAGATGGAGGATTAAAAAGAGAGAGAAGCAGGACGCCTGGGTGGCTCAGTTGGGTCAGGTCATGATCTCGTGGTTTGTGAGTTTGAGCCCCGCAGTGGGCTCTTTGCTGACAGCTCAGAGCCTGGAGCCTGCTTCGGATTCTGTGTCTCTCTCTCTCTCAATAAGGGGAAAAAAATGTCAAAATGCGAGAGAGGCTAATGTCCGGGAAGAGTCAAGAGCCCCAAGTAAGGATCCTTGCTCCATTTTTATGAGACTCAGAAGGCTTACAGGCGTAATGGGCATGCATAAAGAGACAATGAAACCAGGAACATTAACTCATGGGCGAGGGGGGTGAGGGGTTTTGAAGATATGTGGTGTTAGAGGTTTGGGTCAACACAAAACAGAATCCTGGCACTGGGAGGAAGGTTGTTTAGAGCAGGCATGGGGCACCTGTCCCTAAACTGGCCTAGGGGACAAGACAGAGCATGCTACCTCGGGGTTAACAAGCCACCTTTCTTTTGCTGATTAGCTTCTGTCCAGGCAGCTTCACCCTGCTGTGGTCTATAGCCCAGTTTACCTATTTTGGTCCTTCCTTCTCTTCCTGTGAAAGCAGCTTTATCTTGGATGCATTCATCCTGTCTTTCTATTCCTTTATGCCTTGTTAACCCTTGGGTACAAGCTTGGGGAATTCCTAAGCTTATTTCCCATATGTGATTTTTTTTTTACATGTGATTTTTTTTTTTTATCATGGTGGTGTCCAAATAACTTAGATGAGATAATAATGTGAATAAAAGAACTATTAAAGAGCTATTTTACCTTCTTACATTAAACGGTTTTGGTAGATTTTGTTTTCAGGATTAATGGGGGTTACCTGAAGCACTAGCAGTATACCCTCCCAATAAGGAAAATATGTTCTTCACTTCCTGTGCTTTCCTCCATTCTTAGGGAAATCAAGTTTTGTGCCCTGTAGAACCAAGAACACTCTGTTTCTCAAACTGTGGTCCCATGGGACATTAATAGATAGGCATTCTTAGTAGGACCTCCTGACATTCTAAGTACTGTTTGGAAAATGTTATGCTGGTTCCCATAGCCACATGCCTGTTTTAGTGGGTGCAGCATGGAGGTATTTCCTATACATCAGCCCTTGGAAGAATATACTGTAATTACTATGTATGTACACACTTAATTTTCCCTAGTCTCTGCTGCTTATTTTTCTGGTTGTAAGTTTGGCGCTATAGACTGACACCATTATAGAAATGCCCTAGTATATCTGGAAGGGTAACTGATTTTTTTCTCTTTATATTTGTAGACTCTCTGTAAATAGTGTGAGGTACAAAACACATCGAGCGGCTGGAATTACATTGTGTAGGGTCTTATGCTACCAAACTTGAAAATTGAAACATATATAAAAAGTCCCAAGTAAGGAATAAGGGAGAACCATCTATCCTATGTATTTAGATATAAATTTATTTCCCCCTGTACCAGTCAGTACTAAGAGTCCTTGGGCGAAACTTCAGACTGCTTCATAAGAGACCTGTAAGAGCAGAAAGCAGCAGACCTTTACCCTCTAGCCAGTGTACGCGTGGTTTGTCACAAGTCATGGTGTATCAGCCCTATGATGAATTGATAAACCAGATACAGGTTGCTGGAATTAAATGTAAAATAACACACTCAAGGGAAAAGTAATTCCTTGGTATAGGAAAAATACTAAAAGAACCAATACTTCACTTGAAAGTTTACAGTAAGATAAACCGTAGTCTCCTTTTCAATCCGTTTATACAAAGACGTTTATTTGCCGGTTTTGCCTAAAACAGGTAGAAGTTTCTTAGCAGCTGAGTTCTTGTTACCAAACTGTAAATATAGTCAAAACTGCCAAAAGGTTACAGTGAATTCGTGAATGTAAAGCCCTTTTATTTTATTTTATTTTTTTTTAAATTTTTTTTTTAATGTTTTATTTTTATTTCTAGGAGGGAGAGAGAGAGAGAGAGACAGCGTGAGCAGGGGAGGGTCAGAGAGAGAGGGAGTCACAGACTGAAACAGGCTCCAGGCTCTGAACTGGCAGTCAGCACAGAGCCCGACGCGGGGCTCGAACCCACGAACCGCGAGATCATGACCTAAGGGAAAGTCGGACGCTTAACCGACTAAGCCACCCAGGCGCCCCTGTAAAGCCCTTTTAAAATGACAGCGCTGGGTCCTTTACATGAGAAACAGATAGGACCTGAGACCTTCACCAACTCCCAGATACGTTTCTGGCATATTATTATTCCCTTTAAGATAACATTATTAGAAATTTTTAAGTAATTCCTTTTGATCTTCATGATTCTCTAACAGGATTAAAGTCCTTTATAAAGATCTTTTACGGCCAGCAGCCATCACTTTTTAAAATGTCTACATATTCTTAGTTACCTGCAGAGTAGAAAAGGTAGTAGAGCTGCCTGTAAATGTGGATGCTGGCCAGTCCCAGGCTCACCTCCTGGTGACACCCACCCTACACATGGCCCTGGCAGTGCTCACAGTCCTTATGCACGCTGTGACAGTTACAAGGCACTGCCATGATATGGACATCTTTTAGTGGCCCACAGAAGTCAAGTAGCTATACTTTAAAATGTTTTTGCTAATTTCTACTTAAAATATGATTTATTTGAAAACAAATAGCTCTGAACTACACATGATAAGATGTGGGTTTTCATTTGGGTTCTAGCTCCCTTTAGCCCTGTACCTTCAAGTAGGCTATTTATCCCTCTGAAGTTCTATTTTCTCATCTTTACAATGGAGTATTGATCTTTGTTTGGCCTGTTATACAGGGTGGCTGTGAAAATTATTTATTTATTACAGGTGATTGTTTAATCACCATGAACTTTGTTTTGTTTTTAATTTAAAAAAAAAAAAATTTATTTCCGAGAGAGAGAGACAGCGTGAGCAGGGGAGGGTCAGAGAGAGGGGGAGATACAGAATCTGAAATAGGCTCCAGGGTCTGAGCTAGCTGTCAGCACAGAGCCCGATGCGGGACTCAAACCTACAAACCGCAAGATCATGACCTGAGCCAAAGTTGGACGCTCAACCGACCGAGCCAACCCTGGCCCGAACTTTGTTAAAAAGAGTGATGATATTATTATTATTATTATTATTATTATTATTATTATTATTATTGGAAACCCAGAGCAGTATCATAAGTAACAGTTCTAGAATGTCTAAAGCATATTGGTACAGTTGTTTACCTCATCTGAAAAACCCACCTGAACCTAGATGTATAGACAAAATAGAAATCAAGATCTAGATAAGCCTCCAAACTCCAGAGTGGGACTTGCCAGCTGCTATCAGGTAACCAACCACCTGAAATAATTCTTGACATTCCCAGTCTCACCTGGAATATCCTTGGTCATATTTATAGTTACTCTTAAACAGCTAGTCCTTGAAAAAGCTATTCATTAAAAAAAAACCTTTTACAGCTTGTCCTTGATCCTGTTCTTCTTACCCTTCTATTTTAGACCACATTGCACACATTATAGAGCTGATAGGCAGAATTCCAAGACGCTTTGCCCTCAGTGGGAAATATTCACAGGACTTCTTTAATCGCAGAGGTAGTTTTAATAACATGAGTTTTCATATAGGTCCCAGGGATACTTCAGGAAGCAGAGCATTCACACCAAGACTATTTTTAGTTATCACTCACGTCCCACTGGAGTGGGTGCCTGGTTTTTTTATGGTTCTCTGGATTCTCCATTAAATGGATAGAGTCCTCTTCCTATTTAGGACAGAAAGCAAGCCTGAAATGCTTTATAAAGAGGTATGCATGCTACTCTTTCTGCCATTGTCTAGAACTGCATTCGTTACTCTTGTTATGTATGTCTTTTTTTTCCCCTTTCCTGAAATGTTTGAAACATACAGATCACATTGCATTGATCATAGAACTTCTGGGGAAGGTGCCTCGCAAGCTCATTGTGGCAGGAAAATATTCCAAGGAATTTTTCACCAAAAAAGGTAAAATAAATGTGTTTGTTCCCAGACATTAAGGGGGCAAGGTGTTTAAAAATTGAAGAGGTAAGTAATGCTGGTTACCTGTCCCCAACACCTACAGAAGAATGGTCCTGGCCTTGACTGCTGAGCTGTAATAATGTGGTCAAGAGCAGAGACTGGAACCAGACTCTCTGGGTTCAAATCTAGCTGCTCCATAACCTCAGTCTGCTGATTTCTAACTGGAGATCTTAAATGTTTACTTCATATTGAATAAGTTACCATGTATATAGAGCACACACCCGATTGAGCGCTTCTGAAAAATGAGCAGATTTTTGCCAGCATCTGATCTAAGAACTGCCTCTTTCAAAGGGCAAGTCATTTACTTTAAGCTTCTTCAGGGCGGGACTACATCTCACTGTCTTGTGGCCCAGTGACACCCAGCATAGTCACTTAAGCCCGTCAGTCCTACAAATTAACTTTACACTTTGCAGTTTTATGTCATCACTGAGGAGTGATGGAGATACTCAAGAGGATACTCTTACCTCAGATTTTTGACTTGGTAACATATGTTGGCATATTTAAATATGTACTTATACATCCAATAAAGTTAAAAGCTGAAATTTGAAAACCTGACATGGAACAGACTAGAAGACTATCTGGTCTTTTTTTCCCTTTTTGCCATCATTCCATTTTTTCTTACAACCTCTACACTAGTGCTGAGGAAAATCCTTTTTCTCAACACTCGACAGCAAGCATCCTCAGAAACATTTCATGTTTCTTTTTTGGCAGGAAAATAGTGAAGTGCTTCATAAGAGCTCCCCCCTCCTTGCACAAAGACCACTCAATGGCATGCATGTACTGAGTAGATAATTAGGCACTTGGCTGCCCACAGAAGAGACTTCAAATAAGTGTTGTATAAGTAAAAGTTTTGAAGCTGCATTTACCTTAATAAGCCACTGTAATTGACCTTTTTTTTTTTTTTTTCACTTCAAAGAAGCAAAATTTAGAATGACATTCCTGAGTAGTACGAAGTGTGATGTAGCTATATTTCCTGAAACCTGTGTGGGGTTTGTTCTTCTAGGTCTTGTTCCTTTTATACAGATTTGTCGTGGTATTAGCTCTTACTGCCTTATTTGGAAGCAATATTTACTAGACTGGTAAGCCAAAAAAAAAAAAAACAAAACAGTACAATCAAATTGTTCCTGGTATGTGGTAATAAACTGCTTCTGAACACCATGTGACATCATTTTGCATATATAGGCATTTAACATTCATTTTAGTGAATACCTGGTTCGTGTTAGGCCTGACCAATTTGACTGGGACAGAAAATCCTGGAATGGTGGAGAAAACAAATTGTCTTAAGTTTTTAGGCCCTCAGAAAAGAGTGGTGCTTTGTGAATGGAGAAAGATTCAATTCTGGTGGCAAAATTTGATTCTTTATAAAGCACCTGGATTAGTTCCTGGATTTCCACAAAAGACTCTTGTCACTTGTCAGTGTCAGTCAGTTTCTCTTGTATTGTCTTTATCATAGGTGACCTGAAACACATCACAAAACTGAAACCCTGGGGCCTTTTTGAGGTTCTAGTGGAGAAGTATGAGTGGTCTCAGGAAGAGGCAGCAGGCTTCACGGATTTCTTACTGCCCATGTTGGAGTTGATACCCGAGAAGAGAGCCACTGCCGCCGATTGTCTCCGGCACCCTTGGCTCAACTCCTAAGCCCGAGTCCAACAGCGCAGCAGAGACCACATGCTGACCCTCACTCCTCCCCAACAAGCATTTCCCTCTTCCCTTTTCAGGGTGAAGCTCTTCCTTCAAGGATTTCCTAGGTTTGTTTGGGTTTTTTGGGGTTTTTTTTTTTTTGGTTGTTGTTGTTTTTTTTGTTTTTTTTTTTTTGTTTTAATTTTAAATCAACCTGTTCATTTGGGTTTGTTTCCTTGACCCTGTGGAGATCCCCCACAGCCATTGGGCATCCTAGGTGAATTTGGCATTGATTGGGCTCTGCCAAAGACTAAAATGTGAAACAGCCTCTCACCCTGTACCTTTGTCTTTCCATTAGAACACCCTTTAAATTATACACATCCTTTTAAAAAGAGCTATGAAGATGTATGAGCTCATCCTTTTATTCAACTGACTCTAAGAGTCAAATTTTCTAGTGCATATCCTGTTGCCAGCATAAGGATGAGAAGGGGAAAGGGTGTTACTTCTTGTACAGCAGAGACATTAAACTTGCTGTATCCAGGCTGCATCATCATCCTGGACTGTTTCTGTTGCTCTCTGTGTTCACATGTTTTCCTGCGACTTTGAAGCTATCTTTTTAAAGGAGCCATAAAAACTCCAAATTTGGGTACCATTTTATCACTGTTCCAAGCACTATCTGAGTCCTTTCATCGTTTAATAACTCTAAGATCCTTGAATCTTTGGTCTCATTTTTTTGATGAAAACAGAAGCGGAACCATTGACTTATAATTTCTTCAGAACCACAGATGTTTTGCAAAACAGTCCTTTCCTGTGTGTCTTCTGTCACCCCACCAGCAGAGTTCTTTCAGTTGGCTGTTTTGTGTTTTGTTGTTTTAATCCCCGGCTGGCACTTTACTCACTGCACTTGAGTTTATTGCCTCATAACTAAAGAAATCAGTATGACTCTAGAAAGGAGATCTGGATTTCAGAGATTTCCCCTCTAAGAAGAAAATGTCCTAGAGTTCCTGATTATTCTCCAGTCAGTCCCCTGCTCTTATTCACAGCTTTTTGTTCACCTTGTCCAAAATTTAGCCTTGAAGCAGTTTCCCTCTGGCTTTGCCTTTCTCATTTTCTGAAAGGCTTCAGGTCTTAAATGAAATCCCAGCATAGAAGAACCAAGGGGAAGGGTGGGATGGCACTTTTGGGGTGGGTTTTTTGTTTTGTTCGGGGGGGTTGTTTTGTTTTTGGTTTTGTTTTTGGTTTTAAAATTAGTCATTCTCTGCTGCTATTTCTTTGTATAATATAAGTTTTTAACTGCAACTTTGGGATAATTGAGATGTACTTGAGGCTTTTTTTTTTTTTTTTTTTTAATGAGAAAAGGCTCTGAAGTTTACTTTACAATGGGCCTTTCCTAGACTTGCCCTAGACATCACATACCCCTTGGGTCATATTGAAAATTAAAAGAGGGGCAGGCTTGGGGTCACAGCCAAGTGGGCCTTGGGGACTACAGCATTCTGTGGAGACGGCTCCAGGAGTGATTTGCAGAAAGCCAAGGAGGTGCGACTTGAGGCTCTACTAGCAAAGCTGCCGATGAGGCTTTCAGATAGCCGGCCCTCTGTACGGGGGATTGGAGTCCAGATTCTGCCATTTTTCCACCAACAACAGCAAAGGAAAACATGGTGCAATTATGCAATCCACTTAACTCGTAAACCTAGAACCCTGAGTAACTATGGCCAGCCATTCATCGGATCCTTGATTGGGTAGTCCTGAAATCAGACATGTTCCTGTAGAAAGAATGTTGAGTGAGGCTGTCTATGCACCTATCAAGAATAAAGAAAATAGATTGTATCCAACAACGGCAGGGAAAATCCTTCAGCACTTCTAATCCACTTTGGCTTTTCAGCGATGTATACATCTAAAGCAATAGCAGACTAGAACTGAATCCTTTTCTACACTGTAAAATAACAATTGTGGAATTACCGGAATTCTGGTGATGATATTAAAGTAAAATAACCAAAACACACAAATAGAAGGCCCCATTTTAGCAATTGATGTAAAAAGAAATTTTAAGAGAGAACCTATAACTTCTTCTTTGGACATTTTTTCCCTCCAAATAAGGGCTTTCCCCCCCTGTCATTTAAGGAGCCAGACGAATTAGAAGCCGTAGAAAGAGGCAGCTATAGAATTTGATCTTCCAAGTACCCCACGTACCTTTATTGAACTTAATCATAATACTGTCAAATTGCCATGATCTTACTAAAGGATTTCTATTGCTGTCAATTAAAACCCCAAATGCATTTTTATTCTTTCTATTGGGTGCATTGTCTGTTTTCTTTATAAATGCAGTACAATAAACAAATTATTTAATAACCTACATGTTTCCCGAGCATTTCTGTTCATTTGTTCCCCAAGTTGGTCCGAGCCAACCTTCAGAATGGAGGAAAGAACTGGCTGAGTTTGCTTTTTGGACTTCAGTAAGCAGTGAAACTGTATAGGTTGAACACGTGCCACTTTATGGCTTTCCTAGCTTTGCTTCCGTCTTTAAATTGGGGGTAGGTGAGATTAACAAAGTACATTTTGGAAAATCTTAAGAAAATTGTTCTTCCCTATATCCAGTAGTATTTTCCCAGAATATCTGTGGTGTGTCTTCCCCACCCCTGCCCCAGATATGGCCATAGCAGATAAAGAAGGCGAAAGATCTGTGAGCTCTGCCTGAAGCCCTGGCATGACAAACCCTGTTGTGCCCAGGCTTTCATACACTCGTCTGATTTACTCCTTAGCATAAATTCTTAGAAATGGAATGGCTGGGCCAGGTTGTAATACATTTTTATGGCTCTTAGTAAATGTCCCATAACTTATGTGAGGAACAGTTAAGACTCTTGCTGCGATTAGCAGTGTTTGGATGGGCCTGTTAGGATTGCACTCGTTTTATTCCTTTTTCAAAAATCTTTCTCTTGTTTTTAGATTTATTTTATTTTTGAGAGAGTGCAAGTGAGGAAGAGGCAGAGAGAGGGAGCAACAGAAGATCAGAAGCAGGCTCTGCGCTGACAGCAGTGGGCCCTGCACGGGGTTCGAACTCTTAAACTGGATTGTGATCTGAGCCGAAGTCAGACACTCAACCGACTGAGCCACCCAGGCGTCCCCGCACTCATTTTACTCCTAATAGCCAGTTTGATTGCCAAAAACTAGGAGTGACTTGTTTTAATTTGCAGATTGGATGACTAGTGAAACCAGAAACTTGTTTCCTGGGTTTTTTGGCCATTTGTGTTTTTTGGTTATCTGCCTCCATTACCAAGCTTTATTTTGGCATGCTTCCCTATTTCATTATTTGGTAAGGATTTGTTATATACTAAAGATGATGCATTTTTGTCATTTTTCCATCACATACTTTTCCAATTTTTTATTCTTTCATTTTTTTTTTTAACATTCAATAGAAAGTCCTTTCCCACCCCTGAACTACATAAACTGTTCCAGTTAATTTAATCATATCATGCTGAAGACATACGTAGTGTGTTCATACTGTAGTGTTGCCCAGAAAGAATGTAACACGTTCAAAAAAAAAAATACCTAAACAAATGAAACCAGAATTCCTCAAGCCAGCGTGTTTACTGGACTGGCCAATCTAGGCAGTCTCACGAGGCCTGTGTCAAGTGTACAGGCCTGGAGTTCAGAGGGTTTTGGAAGACTTCATTGCCATCGCCCTAGGAGAGCTTGTCGCTATCTCAAAAGAACTAGCAAATTGAAATGGAGTTAAACCGCCCCCCCTCCCCAGGCCCCTGCCTTTCACTCTTCATTTGCCCTGAGTGTCTGCGGGGGCACCATTCAGCTGCTCCAGAGCAGACCCAGGTTACAAATGGACTTGATTACTGCCTGTTCTCTTATTTGTGAAGCCTTCAGTCTTACAGTCTGCCCTTCTGAGGAAAGGGATTTGCTGTGGGAGGACTGTATCATAGAAAATGGATGTTCTCTTGATAATAGTCAGAATTACAGTTTCTCCAGAAATAAGGCCTAATGACACCAAAGAAGCTTGAATAGTCGGCCCTTTGTGTTTTGCCCACCAACGTGGTGCCTTTGGAGTTGGCAAGGTATTGCTGTCTTACACCTCTTGCATAATCTTCAGTATATGAAGATTAAATATGTAAACTGTTAGGGCGCCTGGGTGGCTCAGTTGAGTGTCCAACTTCAGCTCAGGTCATTATCCCACAGTTCATGGGTTCGAGCCCCCATGTTGGGCTCTGTGCTGACAACTCAGGGAGCCTATTTCAGATTCTGTGTCTCCCTTTCCCACCCCTTCCCCCTCCCCCACTCATGCTGTATCGAAAATAAACATTAAAAAATGTTTTTAAGGATATCAATGATTCCCACCAGATATGAACACACTTGTGTATGTAATCCCTTCACCTTGAATGTGGGCTGGACTTTGTGACTGTTCTAACAGATTAAAGCAAAGTGACAGATGTTACTTCTAAGATTGGATTATGAAGAGCTGTGGCTGCTGTCTTCTGTGCCCCCCTCTGTTGCTCTGTCTTGGAACTCTCTCTGGGAAAGCAAGTTGCCACGTGAGTAGCAGTATGGGGAGGCCCATAGTCTGCATCCTGCAGATGACCACTGAGCATGGAGCCAGACCCTGATCCCTTAACTGCAGCCCTGTGAGAAACCTTGAGGCAAAGACATTTCACTAACCCTTGCCAGATCCCTAACCCACAAAAACTAAAACGTTTTAAAGTTCTTTGCAGCAGTAGGTAACTAATAGAGGGATGTAAGACAATGAAAGCATGTACGATCTCCTTCCAGTTAGCATCTCTGATCTAAATGACTAGTCATCTCTTGACCATATCTACCCTTGGTGAAGTTTGGGCATCACAACCATCCCTACACCCCAGCCCAAGGCAGAGGCATGCCAGAAATGAGAAAGGAGGAAGGCAACTTGGTTAGACAGGTGCTGGTTTTATTGACTTTCTATACACTTTCAAAGATGAAGTGCCCTTAGGAGTTTATGTAAAGGTAAAGCCACTTGAGCTGATAAGCAGTTACTAGGTTTCAACCCAAATCATTACTGTGATTGGAGAGGTTGAATTTGGAGTTTCTTTGAAACAAAGAAACAAAAGGTGAAATGCTGGGTGATCTTACTCAAACAGATTTGCAGAGTCTTCCCCAGCACTGGTCGTTAGTAAACCAACCCCTGCTTTGGTGTATTCCTGGCAAGAGCAAGGTGCAGGCTATTGGCAGATGCACCGTAAGTCCCCCAGAAGCTTCTTGGACCACCATGGTTTCCACTGCAGTGAGAAATCTTGAGAAGGTAGACTTTTTGAAATGTTTCTTTTCGTATGGAAAGTAAAATTATGAGAAAGAAACAGATATAAGTAGGAAAGGCACTAGGGTACAGAATTTGCCAAATTCTGTCATTCGTCACATTTGCATAAAGTAAATGCCAGACTGAAATTTATCAACACAAAATATGAATGGGATTTTTTTTTTTAAGTAGGCTTCACACCCAGAGTAGAGCCCAACACAGCACTTGAACTCACAACCCTGAGATCAAGAGGCAGATGCTTAACCAATTGAGCCACCTAGGTGCCCCATGCCTGGCTGCTTTTAAAAGGGGCACCTGGCTGCCTCAGTCAGTAGAGCATGGGACTCTTGCCAAAGTCATGAGTTCAAACCCCAGGTAGGAGGGTAGAGTTTACTTTAAAAAAAAAAAAAAATGCCTTTACAACCCAGAAATGAGAAACTGTTTACTGTGTCAGCAGCTGCTCCTTGATCAAGTAACAAGATCCATTACAGATTCGTTCAGCGTTTACCTCCTCTCCACCAGTAGCCACATTTTCTCTTTATTACGTGAATGTGCAAGACCAGGAAAAATTTCCTGCTCCTCAGGATTATCCACTGCAGATAATCAACAAACCCTGTTTCTAGGCACCATCTCCAAGCAGGGAAGAGCCTAAGGAGCCTGTCTTCATTTCGGCATTTGCTACGAGGAGGTGTTACCTAAATCGAGTTCCCCTCTGGAGGCTGGCCAAAGATTCACCATTAAGAGTGCCAAATCCAAAGTAGTTTGGTTTGGTTTGGTTCTTGCAAGAAGTGTAATCTATTACTAAAACAAATCACTTGGACACAAGTAACAAATTTCTTAAGCTGGTGGCCAATTCTGATTGGTCAGGATGGATACTATGAGGGAATTCAATGGGGTTCAAAGGGGAGGAAGTCAGTTTACCCTCCTCTAAGTTTTTAGATCCTGTGTTCACCTAGTCTTTATAGGACTTCCTGATACATTCGGGTTCTGGTGACCTCCACTCCTTACCCACCTCTGATCATCAACAAGAAAACAGTAAGAAAGAAGCAGAGGACCCCCTAAGCCTCAACCT